TGTTAAATTTTATCACAAAAATTAAAAGTTTTCTCTGTAACATGATGGCGTGACAAAGTGGTGTGGATTATTCTTGAAAAATTATAACACCGAGTCACACGATCACACCACTTTTCTCACACAAAAGCCCCGCCACTGCGAGTGATATTTTGATAAGTGAGCGAGGAGAAAAACGAATGGTACTTTTTGAACAAACAGAGAAAAAATGCCTACTGTAGCATGCAAATGTATTAAATATAGTTTCGTGCAACTTTTTTTTTATCTCCACCGAGCAATTAAAATGCCATACACCACTTTTCTCATGAAACTCTAATAAAATTAACGACGTTTTAATGAATTTTTAACCCATAATGTCCGTATATAGCAAAACTGTAAAATATTTATTGCTCTCTACCTTACGCAAATTTTTCCATGAGGTACAGTTGGAATTAATTTAAACTTTTGCTTTCACGAGTTTCTCGGTTGGGAAAAAAGTGCCTCAAAAAACTTTTATTGGAGCGAAATTTCCCGAGAGTCTTTTGCGGTAAACAATTTTTCCAATCTAGCAATTTCACTACATTTAATCACATCTGAAGAGTTGCGGCGCTTGCGAAAAATTTAATATCCGAATCAAATAATTTGAACTTAAAGAGTCTCAGAATAATATCAACGCTAATTTGTGTCCTATTAATATTAACTTCCTTAGACAATTACTTACTTCTTTAACATTTCAATTATAATCAATTAGGTATACCTGAGGAAATACTTTCCAGTATTTTCCGAGTTGTATTTCAGCACGCAATAAAATTTTTAATAATTATCGCTTATGCTTCGATAATTGAAAAGTCTTCGAATATAAAGAGCATGAAATACATAATTATCGAGTTAAAAGTTCTCAATTTATACTATTAAAATGTACTGTTTAATCTAGATTCTGGAGTGTTTTACAATTGAGTTTAATAATTGTTTTGTTGCGGAACAAAACGAATTATCGGAAATTATAGTGCAATAGTTGGTCTGACTGTGTATGATACAGGATACAGAATTAATGGGTTTATTTGGAGTTTTGTTGGTTAGTTTTCGGAAATTAAATATGATATATCTGTACGTGACAAATTTCTGTCGACAATTTGTTGCGATATCTCTTAATTTCTTCTCGTTCACGGACGTAATCCAGTGTAATCGTATATAAACAATGTGGTGAATTTATTGGTATCGATATATGGTGTTTGCCACAGGGTGGCTTTTAATTAAATAAAATAAAAGTTGCGAAGAATACATTGACCTGTCGACATTTATTTTCCTGAGTGACTTATTGAAGGCTTCCCATAAATTCATTTAATAGACGCAGTCACTCAAAGTTTGGGTTCATTTCTTTTCGATTGCCATTAAGTGGGCGCCAACGCGACGCTATTTGTATGATTGCGGATACGTGCAGGGTGTATTGTGGGGCTTTTGGCGAGAAGAGCTTTCATAGAATATCTCAGTCATCCTGCAAATTGTATTTCTATTGACGATGCGATAGCATTGCAGAGCTGAAAGTTAACGAACTTTTATCGGCAAGAACACACATTTCAATTCCCAGGTGAGTACACACCATCCCTTCTCCCCTGTTTACTATATTGCATGCGACCCCAACCCAAGCAAGTGAACCTGAGAAGCCAGTGCCATTTCATATTCCTTCCTTGGCAGCGCTATTGTGGAGAAATCTTCATTACGCTTTTATGAATGTGACACGATATGGCGCAAAAGGCAGGGTCGTTTTTGGGGGCGATGCCATCCTGACTCTGTCTCCCTTCACCCCACGCACGAGGGTGATTTATCAGCCCAACCTCGCATTCGATGGAAGTCAAAGTGCCTTTCATGGTGGCGAGGAGTCGCGAGATAAGGCGCTTTAAATGTTTTGGAATAATGGCAAAATGAGAATTCGTCCCTGACACTATAAGTACATTAGAGGTGCTTGATATTGTTGCCGTGTTTGCCACCAAAATGCTTTTTGACTCTCTCTATAAAAGATTTCTCCACGTAGCTTGCATGAATCTATGCTATACAGGAACATGGTGACGGCACAGTGCATATAACTGAGGAATATTCCTTCTCTGCACGCCTCGTCGAGGTGTTGGTGCTCCACAATGCTTCCCATTTCAATTGCATGTGATTCATGGAAGTGAATCCAATATGGGACGGGTATTTAGTCACTCTAAGTACCCTACCCTTACTTTCAATTTGATGTGTTTCATAAGTTCAACTGGATAAGTTTGAATTCTGTAAGATGCGATACATGTGCTATGGTATTTTGAACTTACAAACAAAAGCATCAGTACTTCTTGTTTGTTAAAATGCTGAGATGGAATCTTGTGCATTTCCCATTTTCTCACATATTGCACTGTTGAGCTTTCCTCGTACATATTATCTCGGTGTATATCAAAGGGAATGTTTCAATATGAAGAATTCCATGCATTTATATTGCAAAACATGATCAGGAATCATTTTCTTGCTGCAAGAATCATTCTGCACACGTTGATAAAAATATGTAAAATAGGATTTTACCTGTATAATTTCTCAGAGTCAGCTATTTCGGTGTGTAACGATTATTCACTTTCATTATTTCCTGGTGTTTGCGGTGTTTGCCCATTTTGATAAAGGTAGAAGCCGTGAAAGTCATAGGAAATTGAATAAGCGGTGTGTGCCACATTGATTTAAGGAGCATGTCTAAATGAAGAGTGGCATTGGTAGATCAAAAGATATCTTTTCTTCTACCACCCAATAATCGCTTCGCGTAAAATCAATATGTGACCCACATTTGTGCAATTCTAAATCGCACTGCTGGAATTTCTCTCCTCACTTCGCGACAATAATTGCACGGAGTTATTTAGCTTCAGGCAGAAGGGAAAAAGTAAGTTTTGAAGCTGTAAATCATGCTCGCGTGTACTTTAAAGCTGCACACCCTCGACGAGCTTCTTTTTCTCTAGATCTCCACTCATGTTGGCACTATTCTTTCTATATAGAGAGTTAGCCAGTTCAGTGTTCAGACTAAAAGATTCTGACCTTGTTGCTAAATTGCGGAACATGAGGAAAATAGCGGAAAATGTATGGATGAGACAAATTTATTAAAAAGGTACAACAATGGAGCAGAAAATTCCAATTTTCCATGACATTGGAATGTACAAATGAAAAGCTTCTAATTTTTTTTAATGTTCATATCTTACAGACTTCAGTGTTCAATCATGTCATGATATTTCTATCTAGAAATAGGATAATAATTTAACTCAAATCCACTACTAATCTTTTATATGATCTCATGTGTACATTATCCTGTGGGATGTACACAGTGTGGGAAAAAAAATCCTATTAAATCCTTCACATTCGCTCCTTTATCACCCAATCTTCTTCTATCGCCCCTTCCATCACAGCATGTTGGCGAGTGAATGAAATTATTCACAGTGTAAAACCAACAAAGCACTACACTCTCAGCTTGCAAATTGTGTAAGGATATATGTATATGCTAGTGTACACAGGAGCTGAGAAATTCCTTTTAGGATGCTCTCTCTCTCTTGTGAATTTTTTATCATAAAACCACCCACACAGCACAGGATTACGTCTTAGCCTAACAGGATACGGAATAATAGTGTTGAATTTACTTTTGCATTTTGACCTCTTTGTCCACTGTGTTCTCTGGGTATCCCTTTGAGACGTGAAATCGGTCCTTGACACATTTGGGGCAATAACATCTAAGATAAATGATTGGGCTGTGGAGGAACTTGCGTTTGTGTGCTTTTTCTTGGGACCAAAATTAAATTTTCCTTTATACAAAATTGGTAAAGTCTTGATTACAACAGAATATAAAATATCAATCACACATTATGAAAACTATTGGTTACAATCGAAGATCTCGCATAACTTTAATTCAATAACACTGTGCTCGAACACAATGTTTGATATGCAAATGCTCAATGGTTTGTGTTCTCCGGGCAAATTCAGACCACGTAGCACATTTGTCTTACAGATATAATTGTTATTTCTTGGAAACGAAGTTGTGGTATTGACAGAAACACTCTCTATATTATTGATAAAATATGCCATCTGCAATATTGAGGGGATTCAATGCATTAATAGAACATAACGAGGTTGACTGAGTTGATATTATTATTCTAAGTTTTGGCATGTTGAGATTTATGTTTATTAAAATTAAGTTCTTGATAGACCTATCATGTAACATGAAATGTGTATGTATTATACTTTTGTCAATATTTAAATCAGGCGATCAATGCTAATGAATGCATTCGGTGGGAATAAGTTGTTCGTAGTCTTACTCGTGTGCTTGATACGTATGTCTTATCTTATGTGCCAAAATTCATATTGATTATACATATAAGTATGTAATAAATCCTTTTAAAAGTTTAACATGCTTTACATATTGAATCAAATTGAAATGGAGTTGATAGGCTTACTACTAACTTCGCCTTGAAGACTTCCGGAAGGGTTTCAAAATTGACTAAAGCTTGTCGTAGTGCTTCCGTAACTTTGTGGCAACTAATAACAGGCCCATTACAGGAGCACAGCTGTGATTTTTCCTTAGTCGTTTTGGGAAATGGATCGAACAGGAGTGAAACCACAGTAGTTTGCCTTCATTTTCCAAAGAATCGTACGGACTACTTTTTCTGGGGAAAACTTTGTGTCTCAGCACTGCTTAGCGCAAATTTCACCAACTTGCGCTCCTGGCAGAGCAATTTTGTGTGTGTCGGAAAGAAATGAGCGCGTAACCGTAATAAAATAGTGGAGGCGCCTGGTGATCTGTTGAATATGTTGGTGGATTTGCCTTCCCTAAAATACTTTGCACTTCATCCTTTCTCAATCTCTGCCTCAATTCACACCCCATTCCACCTTATTCATGTGATGTGTACTGTACGTGGAAAACGTGGGTCTAAGTCAGAGATTTGGTGTGGAATTTAAGTGGAGAAAACAAAAGCTATTGTCTCCTCCTTCGGTCTCAACTTTTACTACCAATTTATTCTAATTACCTCAATAATTGCGCGATGATTGCTTTTCCTGTGCCTTTTTTCCCAGTTTCCTTTTTCCTCCTGCTTTTGTCACATTATTTACAACGGTGACACGTCATTTTGTTATTAAATTGCAATTTAAAAGCACAATTTTTCCGCAATGTTGAAAATGAGATGAGGCTCGCAAAAAAGCCCGTGACAACCGCAATGTTGTATTATCGAACAAGATATACAAAAACGTATACTTTACATGCGTTGTTTTTATCGCGAGAGCTTTAAATTAATTCAGAAAACAGGACGATCGATGAGGGTCACAATGTACGTTTTAATTTCATGACTCGCGCTAGGAGGGATATTTCTCATCCAATACACTCAGCTAATACACGTTCATTTCTATCGATTGACGACATAAATTATTTACATCATCACGGGTTTTCATTATACCAGCACTGAAAAAGCTCTCCACTATGTTGATGTATTTAAAGTCCGCATTTCTCGTGTGTCCTTCGAGCCTCGACAATTGCAGATGACTCCGCAGTGCCACTGACGTTATAACTATTTCCGATGCAAAGTTCCAGTGAAAAAGATCAGGCAAAAGCCAATCACGCCGTGTTCCGTGCTACCGAGGTGAATCGTGACTATTTCCGTGTGTTCTGTCACTCACTGAATGATGTTGTTGGACGGATTGTGAATATAGGGGGGCAACAGCAACGGATAATGCGATTTTTCAGCCCCAATGTTTGGGCTTCGGTCGCGAGACTGACTCGTTACGACTCGCGAGAAGTGTTTCCCACCAGTTCGGCTGCCTCCCGGCACACGTCACCCCTCACCTTTGACACCGAGCTCCATGAAGTGGCCAGAGATCATGCGCAGAGCATGGCTAGAGCTTTCCACTGAGCCAGCATGCTCTCACTTCCCCAGCATCGAAAGGCAGTGGCGGGCACGGGAATGCTGTCTGTATGTATAGATTTGGGATTTTCAAGCATACATTGTGACTGAATCCATGGTCATGTGAAAATGCAAAGAGCGAGAGAGAATCAAGCCACCAAAATAGTGCCTTGCACACGTCCATCCATTTCCAACTGCTTCATTTGTATCATTAACCTATTTCACTGGATGGCACTCTCAGCAGCTTCCGACCTTTCACCCATCATCAACGCACTGGCAAAAAATCCCTCTGCATCATAGTTATTTCCACAGCAAAACACCTTTCCACAAATCATGCAGATCTGACATCAAATCAACTCCATGGCTTTCCTCACCAAGTAAACTGGAACACCCAGAATGTCCAAACAGCTCCTCTGCAGAGCAATGAAAATGACCTGAAAAGCAATTTTCACGTAAAGCTTTTATTAGAAAAGTTATTAGTTATTTCCAAAGTTGACAACAGAGAAAAGTTTCATTACTTACACACTTCTCATGCGGTAATTGACAGGGTTATAAAGAAACATTTTGCAGATAAAGGCGCACTGCAAAACAACGAGACATGAGAAATATTGCACTTTTATCTAGTTTATTTACACACACTTCAAAATGCCAAAATTTTAGATAAACTGAGTGTGAGTGTAAAACGGTGGCACTGCTTGAACAAATAAATAGAAGTTTGGAGAAATAATAAACCACAAATTTCATATATTAAAGTTGTTTTGTGCATTTTCTACATCACATTTAATGCTATACATGTGATTAAAGGGATAAATTTGGCTGAAAGTGTGCTGAAATGAGTGAAAAGTTGTTTTATAAAGTGAAAATTCAATTTGTCTGAATGCATTTTCGTAAATTCATGTTGAAACACATTTATCTCGAAAAGTGACCACGTTGTCGCAATACTTTCTTGATTTGCGCGGATTGTGCACTATTTCAGTGCTTGACTGAACTCTGGAGATAAGTCAATTGAATGTGTGACAATTACGAGTGGACTCTGTGTCAACCAACTCTCGCGCATTTCGTGGATTTCGCCGGGTGAAAGGGAGTCACTTTTGGATAGAGGTTCGCCGGCACTCGATTTCTCTGCCACCGGAAGCTGGACAATATGTTTAAATTGCATCAATTCGCATAAATCAGACGACTCGCAGAGCATCAGAGACAATTTATGAAATTTATCACATAACGCTCGTGTGTGCTGCCATTCGCTTGTTATTCGCAGTCTGAGGAATTTGAATCATTCTGCAAGATTATTCAGCTTGGAAGCACTTTAAATATTTTTTCCCAATTTTTTTTTTTAGGATTATCCACCTCATTTTCGATGGACCATTTAATTTTATTCCCCATGAATCTCTGGAGACCCATCGTCGATTTAGGGGACAATAATAATAATAACACAGAAACCCTCGAGAGGCAGCTAAAGGGAGGGCAAAAAAATATCACTGGAATATGTAAAGCAACCAGTCTCAGGTGAGGCAGAAGTTTTAAGGGGTTGAGTAAGCCGAGGAGAAGTAATTTGGTTCAACTCCGTAGGCAATTGTGGAAAAGTAAATCGGATAAAAACATGTGAATAAGATTGAATTCTTTGGAATTTTAACTTAAATGGCTTTTGCAATGAATGCCCCTAAGAATACCTATCGAAAAATTTCAATTGAAGCAGCCAGTCAACTGAATAGATTGGACATTAATGGCATTTTTTTATTCCTATTGAATCACAAAGAAAAATCCGCAGTACAAGTAATGAGATTTTCTTACTTGAAAATCACTGCAACTGACAAACAGTGGGAGAGCGAATTGTAACTTTTACTTAAGATGGCAACAAGGATGGCAATTTTCAGTTTTAATGAGATTTCTTTTCGTGAAGTCTGAGAGGCGTTTTTGATAAAGTCAAATGGAGATTCTTGGCATAAATAATTTAGGTCAAAGCGTACATTAAATAATTTTGAAAAGCTTCCGCTATTCGTTACTTCATTATATACTCACATCATATTGTCCTTCATTATAATTTTTGCAATTTTGTAATGGGGACACAATATATATCTGGGAGAGTCCATTTCGCTGGGACATTTCAGGCCAACAGAGACAATAACGAAAAAAATGTATTTGGGCACAATTGCCATTAAATGCAAGAGCGTCTATTCAATTTCCGTATGGATATGACAATAGAGAGATAAATATACATATGTTGGGCGTAGTTATATGGACGAAGAGGACATAATATAGAGGGTATGGTCACATAGAGGGTCGTTAAAAAGCTCTTTTCCAGACGCAGAGATTTTCCTCTCCATTGTATGAGAATATAAAATTCTCTGTGGGGATTTGTCTCCATAGCAGTTAGTGTAGTTTTCATGAAATAAACATACACATAGTGTCACATCCATAAGACATGGCCTCTGGTGACCACAATGTTCCGCTTATAGGACGGCTGTAACGCCATTTCCGCAGCATCCATCCTAAAGCACCCGAAACTCCCATTCAAAACAGCCAGCGACAAACGCGGAAACTTCCTCTCCATGTCAAATCTGATTTTGAATCACGAAAACACACCATATCACAAGAAATATGGTAGAACACTTGAGACTATTATACTTATTCACATTTCAACTGGCTGAATGGTGTTATCTCAACTTTGATGGGAGGCCACAGATAAAGTGCCAAAACTGTGGTTGTCACCATTTGTTTGACAATGGCTTTTGTATAATTTATTGGAAGTTGCGCGGAGTATGGCAAATGTATATATTTGCATTATTCCTAATGATACAGATAGACATGGAAATATCACATCGTGCATACTTGGTTGCCACTCACAGCGGATTTACAAGTTCAATTGATCCCAAAATGCATTCATTTGCCATGGGAAATGGTGCATATGACAGGCACTAGAGCTCAAACAACAACGATGAGGGCAAGAATAAGTTGAAAAGATCATCACAGAAGTTATCGCAATACATAAAGTTCTACCTGAAAGCTTACGTGAAATCCTGCGTTAGGTAATGGCTTTAAATATATCTCATATATTTAATCATCATGATCTTTACATGAGTTTTTCGGATCTTCACATGATTTAAATTAACAATATAAAAGGCTAAAATTGAAAATGACAATAAGTACATATATTCCAATCCTGAGTTGATAATAATAATTTCCACGTGAAGGATTTGAAGCGTCGATTTTCATGAATTTTGCATTAGCAATATTTCACTAGAGAGCTAATAAGTTTTACTGTTTGTAACTAATTGAAATTAGTTTGTAAATCAATAATGCGATTATTAAGTCCGCACTGAAATGGTATTAATCAGGCAATATGGAATGTGTGACGCCTAAAAACAAGGCGTGAAATTGAACAGGAATTGGGAGGAAGCGTGATGGGATTTTTCTGCCTGGCTGAGGATATTGTTTTGCATTAAATTAGGAAATGTAGCATATAATCAGAAATTGTGGTGCTGCTCATTTAAGTGTGGTTGCAAGCGATGCAAGATGAGAATAAAGCGGAAAACTTGGCAAATTCATCGTAACAGTTGTACATCAAAAATTTAATTCACCGCGTAATTACTTTGCAAATCATTTACTCACTTATGCACAACTCCATCTTTCTGCACATGATACAGGATGTGAGCAACTACGAGGGATTATGAGTCCCAAATAAATTGAATTCAACCACTACAAACAGGATAAATTTATTGAAAAATTATTTCATGCACATTTAAGCTCATTACGCGATAGCATGCAATTTCGCACTCGTAGTGAATAATTTATCAAGCAGTGAAAATGTTAAATGAGAATTGAAATGCATTATGCATTGTTATCCTTGGTAGATTGGATTTTTCTTCGCCAAAATTATCATTCCAATTCTGCCAAGAGGAATCCAGTTGGATGTGCAAAATTTCAAATGAACTTTATATATCAATTTAGTTAGTGATGCACTATAAGAGCATAATTAAATCCCCACTATGGTAGCTTCTGAGTCATTAATAATCTCATGCATATTTCCGCATTAATTTTAGAATACCCCAAAGGCACCACAGAACAAGCGAACGGACAAAAATGATGGGACAACGTGCAATATAATTCAACATCGCACCGGCATTAAGGGGAAATGATGAAGTGGAAATTAATAGTTCTCCTGCAGGAATAAGCGAGGAAAGTCTCTGCACTTTAAGAGCGATGGGATTTTTTCCCGTGCGGTGTCGAAAAAAAAACTTTTCCACTCCACCATCTTCTGTACACCATTTAATTATTCTTCGTTGTTCAGCCAAGTTGTTTGGCGGTGGAGAATCTCATAAATCAGAAGCTGACCACCATATGGACAAGAGCTCTCCACATCGAGTTTCGTCACATTATTGCTTCTATTTTTGCACCGACACGCCAAGAATTGTTATACGGAATTATCGGCAACAATGTCCGGAGAGATTAAAAAAGTTTCCATAATGATGAAAGATTAGAAAAAAAGAGATTGCTGCAATCAAGATGAATTGAGGGAACGCGTGGATTAATTGTTGTACACAGAAGCAATTAATTACAAAATATATTCCACTTTATTGAGACAATAAATTAAAGATAGTAAAAAAAAATTATATATCTCTAAATAAATTATAATGATTAATCAACAGGATGGAAGATGTAAAAGAAATAACAAATTTATGTTACTTATGGCAATTTTATCCATATATTGTTGAGATATTTCTTTTGCATTTTCTGGGGAAAATACATGTGTCACATAGAAGTCTCTTTTCTCAGCTCTTCTCCAAATTATAACTATTGATTGTGACAGTTTAGGTTCAGATCTTTATCTTCCACTGTGGAGGGTGATGTATTGTCGGTCGAACGGGAAGTTAATCTCAAAACTCCCATGACTCCATCCATTTCAGGCCATTCATAGTGGAATTGGCTTCACCGGCTGATGGACCCTCCATTCCATAGGCGAGCGGTGCAAATTTCAGGAAGCTCCACCCCAGGACGCCCAGAGAAGCCCCGAGCAGTGTCTGTCTGAGCCAGATGGGGAGACGATGTGTCAAATAATTGAATACAACACCTGCAAAAACACGGTAATATCATCAAATTCAATTTCTTCCTGGGTGTTCATGTCGGGACATGAATGGTGTGGGATTTGCGAGGGTGCACGTGGAGTTGGAGGCTGCCGAAAATATGATAGAGGAAATGTGTGAGTTTCCGGAGAGCGCATCGCAAGAATATGTATGTGTGTATCTTTGCCTCCTCCTCGAGCTATGAATTGCCAAGGCATAAATTATATTTAAATATATTTTACCACCGAAATTCGCCCCAATTTCACACTGTATTGATTTTATATGAGTAAATCCCCAGGAGGCGGATGATTTTCCGCCACTTTGGCAAACAGCAGCGAGGTATCTTGGCGGAAGAGCGTCGTGTGCAGAAGCCGCCAAGTGTTGCTAGTCAGCGCAACTGTTTTCAATTAGTATTTCCAATACCATGACCTTAATTAGACGCTCTCAAGAGTATGACAAGTGGGAGGCTCGGTGGCACGCTGGCAAAGTCGTGCCATAATTGCATTCTGCATTGTACAATTCATCCAATTATACACCTATGCGCCATCACATCATAAGCGGCATTTACCCTCATCTTCCGCATGAAAGGGTTGCGCAACATCAGACGAAGATGACAACAAAGGCTGACCATCGCCTCAGCGGTGATTAAGCAATCTAGACGTTATTATCAAAGATTTTTGCGCAACACTCTCTCCATTTCGCCCCATATAACTCAATTGTAATTAACCGAAACTTGTTGTTGACTTCCTTTCGCCCCGTCAACAAGCGATGCCACTTCACCCCTTTCGCTGGCAGCTTCCAAAAGCGTCACACATCGCAGTTTTCCGGTTGAATTACCACCCACCGGATCCCACATAAAATACGCATCGCGTATAATATTTGTAATGATAATTAAATTTGGCCCCTGCTAATATAGCAAACGTGTTCAGTGCGCGGAATAATAATAATACTACGTACGTTTCGTTGAACACATATATTAATTTTATAGCTCAAGATATTCATGTTGTTTCAGCACCCACTTTTATCCCACCAGCATCTACGCTTCATCTCCCGCATATAGCAGTTCTGTGCGCCACAATGGAGCATAAGGGACGTGAGATGGGTAAGTGGGTGTCTGAAGGGATTCCCTGAGACGGTGGAAAAGAGCTTCAACGCCACCTTTATGCTTTGCCACGTCGCACGTGAAAACTTTGCAGCTTATTGTTCACCATCACGCCCACCCATTCGCAATGGAATGTGACAAACTTTGAGGAGTACGAAAGAATGTTGAGAATAATCACGCAATTTCATCGATTTGCTCTGCACAATTAGCACTTTATCTGCTCTGCAAACGGTCAAGATTTATGGAGGGTTGCATCCAGACAATGGGGAAGTGGGAGATGATAAATGGGTGAAAATGAGGAAAATCTCATTTGATCTCTGACCCAGCATGAGGGCGGTGAGGAATGAATAAACAAAATTTACTGTGAGAACATCCTTATTACATTTTAAAAACATTTACCTGCAGCTGATACTCTGTTAATCATCGTAAATTAATCAGACTTGAAATTAATTTAAGGCAAACATTAACGTTTTTATTACGTTACACACACAAGAGGGATCGGGAAAAAGCTCCCTTGCATTGAGTGAGTTAGAACGAAGGTTCAAGTTATTGTTAGTTAAATTACAAAATAAGAAAATGCAAGGTTTTTGAAAATACTTCAGTTTCCTGGAAAGACGAGTTGTTTTACAACAATATTTGTAGATTTATAGAGAGCAAAAGTTTAATTAAAGTGATTCTCATGAGCATTGAATGTTATCTTCGGTATCGGGAATTTTTTCTTCTTCTTGCAAGCTTTGTGCTATAGAGAAAACGATCTTATTTGCAATACAGCCCACGTTAAATTGAATACAGTGTTTGGAAGGAATTTAAATAAATTCTCGAGTTTTATTGTTGAGTTGAGAATTTATCGCCTCCTGGCGATGGAATGTATTTTTGGCGAAACAATTGATGAAATAAATTTTCCATCAATTCACTGCGCTCACGGTGAGTGATACACAAAGGAGAGCGAACACATTCAATGGAGGGATAATATAAATTGGCGCCCTTGGCGGAAAAGTTCAATGCGCGAGTGGGAAGATTCTCAAGCCAAATAAGCTGGAGGGAGAGATGAATTCAGCTCCTTTTTCACCTGCATTGCTTTCAAATTGATTTCCTTCGCTATTTTACAATTCTTTACTGCTTCCCCCAAAAACAACCCGCATAAATTATACGAGAGGTTTTTATTTCCTCTATTCCATTCGTAGTTCTTCTTCTCTTTCTCCAGCCTCAACCCCAAAGTGCTCAAATAATTCATGAAGTGCTCCACATGAATTAACAGTGGTGCACTCTCTTTGGGGGAAGTCTTGTGTCTCCACAACTTGAGTCCACTCCAATTTGACCTGGGAACTAATTTAACATTAACAAACACAAGAGACGCTCCCTTTGGGATACAGTGCAGCAGGAAAAACTCTGCTGCATTGAGACACTCCAGCGAGGTATGGTTGAAAAATATTTGCAGAACCCAACTGAGGCTGTTACATTTTTCTCACTCTGATGCTTGCATTCACTGTGAATTATTTCTCTTGTTTACCCCAACAAACTTCCGTCCCGTGGAAATATTTTCACATGCCTGGAGAACGCAGCAACAGGAGCACTTATATTTTGGCTCCATCTCATGTTCCGAGACGTTGAATATTTTAATTAAATTCTGCCTGCTTCTGGGCATTATGGAATAGTGGGCAGTTAAGAGTACTGCACAGCATGTGTTTTCTTTTGCGCGCAAGGAAGGAAAGTCTCGAGGAAAAGAGATACAGCCAAATACAACATGTATTTTATGTTTTCCACATGGGCACATTTATGTGATCGTCTCTTCAATTTATTCATCCCATTCGCATGTGGCAAACAAAGGTCATTTCAGCCATAAAATGCTCCCCAGACGATTCTTCCACGGAAAACTTCCCTCCATACGTCAGACAGTTTAGAAACACAGCAAATGCGCTTATTCAATATCGAGCCTGGCAAAATGTACACTTAACTCCTAAGGGGTAATCATGCGGAAAAACATGTTTATACATATGTACGTTGTTGTTTGAAATTCGATATAAACTGGAGAAGATCAAACCATGTTTGACCTCACGTAATGATTTGATACTATAATAAACAATTCAATCAAACTTCTCTTGATCCAATATTATATCATCTCAAGATACATAATTAACATTGCAATCCATGTCAATTGCAGAATGAAGAGAGAGTCATTAAAGAGTATTGTTGGTTAATTTAAGGAGAAAAAAAATCTACTGTCTTTTTGTAAATGTAAAGTTTTATGTATAAATATGAGGAAATGAAAAGCCCTGCGAGCTTTTCGCGCACAGTGTGTTACTTTAGAGACAGAGGAGAAGAAAGCAAAAGCAATCTCGGTGCGAGTTAATGTCTCTGGAGGAGAATGGTTTTGTCGGTGAGAGTCGATAAATAAAATTTTATTACCTGTTAGCATTGAATTGAAAATGAGCGCGGGAAAGTAGTGGTGGAAGTAGAGAACTCGTCCCATCGCCCAGAATGGCAAGTAGTGGAGCAGCCAACCGCCGAACAGCCAGGCGCCCGCTCTCAGAGATCTCCATTTAGATGCTGTGGAGAAAATCAAGCAAGGATATTGCAAATATCTGTGGTGAGAATGCGAATAATGAATTTAGAAATTGAAATTCACCCACAGAAGATTATCCTGCCAAAGCAAAAGAGTGCACCGCATGCCGAAAAAGGTGCGGAATTCAGGAGAATATAAGGAGAATATAATTGTAATAAATATTTATGATCTTGTTGAGAGGGATGAAAAATCCGTATTGATTTTCACAACTCGCCATGGGTGAAAATTGATACAGCTATGTGACTTTCAATGGAGTCTGCAGTATTTCATAAATGTTTTATGCTCCTTCTGTAGAATGTGAAATTTCGAGAATATGTATGTACAATGCATGTATGCTAAAGAAATTGAACGGATCTATCCATCATTTTCTATCTGCACAAGGAAATTCAATTACTCTGACTGTCACAGAGAAGAAAAAAAATAAACATTATGCATGATAAATGCATTTTTCAACAGTTAAAAGCACACTGAAATCAAATTTAAGAATGCAAATGCTGTCTAAGCTTGTTGCCTCTGAGCCGTAATTATCATTTGTAAATTAGGTGATAATTGCACTTTTACACTCACCACTGTCAGGATTAGTGGAATCCTCGTATCCTCGCTCGAGGCGAATGGTTGAGATGACGAAGAGAACGAGGAAAATAGCGATGAACACCAAATTGCTCCACCAGATTATAGGATTTCCCAGTAAGTACACTCGATAAGCAGTCCCTGAGAAAAATTGGCCCTGTTGTGTGGAGAAAGTCACAGAGAACAACAATAGACCCGTTGAGAATCATATTAGGAAAATCCCAGTTGGGAGACACAGAGCAAAGGCTGAACTAACCCTGTAATTTATTGGCCACTGCCACGGCTGGCTGGTGACTTCGCCCTCCTTGGGCTTCAGGCCGGCATTTCCCTGGATCATGACCGCATGGGACTCGAAAAATCTGGACAGGAATCCCGGTGCATAAACCTCAAAGTTCACTTTGGGCACTGGAAGCAATTTCATTGGTATTCAATTAGCAATTACATTTGGGAAGCCACATCCTGTTTTCCGTTTGTCACAGCATTCCACACACACACACAGACACACTAACACACTCTCATTGGGTTGGGAAATAAGGAACAATTGACTTCCATCCATTGTGCGTACATTCATCCCCTTTATAGCAATTCCCAATCCTACACAATAGCTCCACTCGTAGTCTCATCGAAGCCACAAATGACTTCACACTCAGTTAGAAGTTATGGATCATCATCACATATCGGAATCATATAGCCATTGTTTTTCATTCTATTGGGACATCAGGATTAATTAATGGAATAATGAGGATTTCAGGCTTTTCGCATGCTGAAATTAGTCTTTTAGCTACATATATTCATTATTTGGAGCGAAAACGCATGAATCGTTGGAAAGCTTTTCAACTCAATTCACCGTTTCTTGATAATCTCCAGACATTTATCTCGAGCCTTTTTATTGGAGCCTTCAATGCACAATATTTGCCTCAAGAGATTTCTCTACCCTCATGTGTTATTCGCATCAATGTCAACTGTGAGAGATGAAACACGCAGTCATGATGAGAATCTATATGGGAATTAAAATGGCTCAGACTCGCTTTCCCATCTCATTCAATTTTCCATTTGTACCTTTCCTTATCTTATGTTTATTTGCAATTCGCCAGCTCCCCTCCAGGCCACACAGATAAGCACGGGCGATAAAGGTGATGCGAGTGGCGCCCCTTCTTTGTTTCTTGTCTATTGATACACCTGTCGCGGTGGGTTACATTTGAAATTGAAAAATAAATGTTGAATCACCCAAGTTTACAAGCTTTCTAAACACCACCGCACATCTTCCTCTACCCGTCGTTTTCCCGGCGCCCCGGGAAGTGTAATCCCCGCGAGGATTGTTGAATTTTCCGATTGTGTGTGTGTGTGTGTCTCACGTGGCTGACAATGAGTCGGATGATTCAGGTGGTATTTCAGGTGACTGAGCGTGTAGTGGGATCAATAATGGAAATATCCCTTTATCACCGTCATCTTAACAAGGGCCACCCTGGCATGGCTCTTTGTAATGCTAATGGGAAAGACCACTGAATACTCACGTCTCTCGAATTCATTATCCTCCACATTCCACCGGGCGCTGCCGTCCCGAAGATTGGGATTACATGTGACTTCCTGCTGCTCAAATCCCCATTTCGGCAATTGCTTACCACTGGTGGTGAGGGCGCAATTTTGCAGGTAGTGGATAAACAACAGGCTCGACGTTACAGTTTCGACGCGCTCATTTTCATGTCCGCCCACAATGATCACTTTCCACACGTCGTTTGCATCGCCCGTTCCATTCTGTCGGCATAACATTGGATAGAGCATTAGAGAAATTCAGAGATAATTCACTGCACAAAACACAGTTTTGCATACAACAACAGAACAGTGTTTCGCAGCGATTAGTTTTATGCAAAAAGAAGATTAATCTTCTAAGCTTCAACTATCATAAATAAAGCCATGCAATATTTGAGTGAAATATTTCAGGAGTTTTCATGAAATCCAACAATCCTTATCACCACAATTCACCACCAAATAATGCGCAGAGACACGAACCTCGCCATATCCTGTGACTTGGTAGTGCTTTTTGGTGAGCGGTGCTTGCTCAGGATGTGAGTGGAGATTTCGCACAGTTTGGACGTGTTCCAGCCTCACCAATTGACCATTCTTCAGGATATCCACCTCACCCTTCGGCTTCAGCTCCTTGTTGTAATATTTCACCCGCCATTTGTTGTTTTCGTCCTTGTGGGTGTACGTTGTGATCTGCAAGGAAGCAAATGATATTTCTCATGTCGCAAACAAGTCCTTCGCCCATCCATATCCTCACTTGCTGTTGTCGCGCTCCAGCGCCTTTCGGATAGAGATGCAGATGCGAATGTAAATAGCCGCCGCCTGTCTTGTGGTTCTTTATGCTCACCACAGCACCGTAAGCCACATGTCTGGGCATGCTGGCGTTGTGGAGGGAATTCCCAATCAATCTGGACTGGAAGGCAGAACTGTAGAATCCATCGCCATTGCCACTCCTATTGAGAATCTCAAGGTGGATGTAGAAGATGAACATGTACAGAAATGCCGGCCAGATGATTAAAGTGATGGCTCTCGCTATCAACTGCTTCACTGTGAACATCTGCAAGAAGAAATCTCTTAGTTGGACTGAATTTCGAGGAATGTCTGCAATTCTAACCACAGGTTTTGCGAGATTGCCGAGAACATTCCACAGGTCACTGATGGTGTGCAATCCTACAAGGAGCACCACGAATAGTCCTACGAATTTCACACTTATCGTGCAAGCGAGCATGAATCCTGTGAAGATAAGCCAAAACCACCAAATCCCGGTAAATGACTTCTCCTCTTCCGTGGCCTTTGTTATCTTCACCATGCCCAGAACCGAGGCGGTCATGAAGAACATCAGGATGGGATCCAGCAGGATGTATTGGTTGAGAGTTATCATGCCGACGTCCAAAACAATATAGGCGGCTGCCATGAAAGATGCCTGAACGGATTTAGTTAAATCGTGGACAATGTCGAAGGACATGGGAGCAATCAGAGCCCCGAGAGTGGTGCAAAATATCCTCATTCCCTCATATCTGGTGCCGTTGTACTTGTCTCCGGGCTTCTCAAATGGATACGTGCCGTTGTAGCCGGTCAATTTGCCGGAGAGCGCAATCAGCATCTTCCCAAGGGGTGGATGAACATCGAAGAAGAATGTTCGATTGATGTACCAACTTCCCATTTTCCCAAAGTGAGTTTCATCCCAACTGCAAAGAGTGGGAATTAGAATATAGGCCAAACATGCTTGCTGCCAAAAATACTCACCAAATATGATCGGGTTCTGTGACTTTGTAGAACCTCGTCAGGACTGTGCAGAGCACAACAATTGCGAAGACGGTCCATTGGTGCCTGGAACTAATACATCACATTTAGAGACTCTCCAAATCACGAGAATCCCAAAAACCCGGATATTGTTGACAAAGGTAAGAAGAGAAAGTTTCGGGTTCGTCGTTCACTAAATGGCAATCTTTCGTTTTTTATCCACTCCAACTACAAATTATCCTTACCTAGACTCTGGTTTCACTCTCTTTGGTGATTCAGATGATTTTTCCGTCATATTTTAGTCTCTTTTACACAACACTTGCCCTAAAATACTTCCTCTTTGAGACACTTTCTTCACCACCTTTCTCACCACACGTCATCAATGCCAATCAGCTGTTGGGAACAGTTTCTCTTACTGGAATTTCTGTCTCGCTATCCAATTCGAACTTGTTTTCAGTGCTTCACTAGCCGAATATAGAGGACGCTGCGAATCTCTTATTTGAACATTGAGAGATTATGCCGATTATGCGTTTCTACAACAACCACCGTTTGTTATTTTTTTAGTTGGTGGTTTCTATAAACAATTCTATATTTCTGAAATTTTCTAGAATCAAAGCTAGAAATGTCAAGTAATAGTGTGAAAATGGATAAATCTGATCAGACTAATCTGTCCATTGACACAATGGACGTGAGAGCTTCACTGCTGACTCCAGGCTTGAGCCTCTCTCGGCGAGCATCTCTGCGCCCTCGCAGCGTCTCTCCCACTCCTTCCGCAGCAGCAGACGCTGAGGAGGTCCAGGAGGTGATTGTGGCGAAGAGAAGCGCTCCAGAGTGGACTTACGGAAGCATGACTACCGATGAACTGAGGGAAGTGAAGAAGCAAATCGGCATCATTGACGTGAGTTTTCCCGAAGTGAAGAACCCCAAGTTTGAGGATTTCTCAGACTTCCCACAATCTTACTGGACACTCACGCCCAAGGAGAAGCTCATTCTGATGTTTGCCGAGAACTTTCGTCAGCAACACAATGAGAAGCACATTGACCGGATGCCACTGGTTTTGGCGCCAAAAAACGAGTGCGGCATCCAGAAGTTCGTGTCCACCACAATTCGACCAACATCTCTCCACTATCCGGACTTAATTGGATCCTGGGAGAAAATCTCATCCTTCGTGGCGGACCACATTGAGTACGAGCCACTGACCAACCCCACAACGATTGTGAGTAGCGACTGTGTTTAGTAGATTTTCGGGGTGAGTGAGAGATGAGGAAGTGTTTGAAAGGAAATATTTTATTCAGTAATTTACCATCTTTTGTAACATTTTTTTTTAATTAAGATAATCACATGAAGATATAAGATAATGGTAAATTCAATTTCTGCGTAATATAATACATAGTTGTCATCTGTGGTGTAATTCACTTTTGCCACTCTATTATAGATCCAAATTCTTAACTATTTAACCTTATATATACCATTTAATCTCATTTCATTTCATTTATTAATAAGTATATTCAAGGAGGGTGGCTCTCTGGTGAGACACTCACTCGAAAGCAAGTATTTTGGCATTTTATGAGCATATCTTTTACATCATCTCATCTCAATTCAACGATATTCACATATTCAATAATATTGTACAATGTATCCTTAGAGAACAGAATATTTCCACCTCTCTCGCTGCTCTCTGTAAAATCACAACAAAAATATTCTTGTAAAAAATTTCCTTTAAAAATAATATTGGTCAGTCTGAAAAGTAGATTTCATAATATATATTTTGGGAATGGTAGAGTAAAAAAAAATCAAACTAAATACATCGATCGGCAGCGATAAAAAAAATCAGTCTAAATTGCAAATGAATCAATTGAGCTAAAATGTCACATTGTCGAGGAAAGACTTGTCCACATAGCGCAACTTCCTCTATTACATGTGGTATTCATGATACAATAGTGATATTTTATTAATGATTTTCAGTGATGCTTCAACGATTATTTTCTGAAATGACTATTTACATGATATTTTAAATTACGCTATTCCTTTTCTTCTGTTCACCTCCTCTGATATCTTTTCTCTCTCTGGTTAATCTTACAAACATTCTACGCTATATCGTAAAATTACACATTAATTGAATACTTTGAATTTCATCATTATTTATCTTTGGAATATTCTATGGAGTTTCAGTGTCATATTTTTGGGGATTTCTCTTTGAATTCTGTTTCTCTTTTCTCAATATATTTTTTTTTATTCAACTTCAATTGTGGTAAATTCGTATTATTTTGTACGATTCACTAATTTCTAAACATCTTCTTTTTTTTCATGATATTTGGGGTACAGTTCATGAGTGATACAGGAGGAAATTATGTTTAGTTGAAAGAGCGCACTAAAACTTGAGTTACAGCATTGAGATTCGCGTAAAATACCGCTGTGGGCTGTAGATAATGGAATATTTTGTTAGTTTAGTGAATACTTTACACAATATGCACAAAGTGTGATCATTTTGGGGATGTTATGCTTCCTGTAATATGTACAAAGTATAGGAGCTAATAGTTAGGAACGAAAGCAGCACTGAATGTGCTTTCTTATAGGGGCGATGGCGGATAGAATAGTTCAGGGTGGATGTCTTCGTTGTCCTGATCGAAGTCCTCATCCTCTACCGCTTCCGCCATGTCATCTTCCTCCTCCTCCTCCTCCTCGTTGAAGTCATCATACCAGCTATCTGTGTCCCCATCGTCGTCGTCCACGTCGGACCCCGGAGACTCATCGGTCGATCGTTTGGGTAGATCCTATTTGCGCCGGCGGATCTTCACGCGTCTCTCGTCCCGTGTGGACCGATTGAGACTCAGCCTGATGCTCTGCAGCAGATAGCGGAACTGCATCACCTGCATGGCCGTGATGTTGGGATCACTGCACGATTCCAGCCACTGCAAGAACTTCTCGCCGTGCTCCACCGCCTCCAGCGAGCTGCTCACGCTGCTCTCTGGGCTGGATGATTCTGGCGTGGATTCGCCCTTGATCTCGTTGTTGTTGTTGTGGAAGAGGAGATCATCCAGCACGGCGCGCACTTTGGTCAGAGACTTGTCACTGTCGTCAGCGGCGGTCTCGGGAGCGCCATTTGTGGGCGTGGTGTCAGCGTCACCAGGCAGTGAAGGTGACTCACTGGCCTTGGCGATGTCTTCCTGCTCATCCTTCATCGTGGACGAGTTGTCCGACGGCAGGGGCAATTCAGTGGTGTGCGCTTCATCGGCATTGCCATGTTCCTCCGACGTGACGGTGTTCGTGGCGGACTGAGAGGCCGGAGGATGATGCGACAAATCCTCGGGCTCCGACTTGCCGCCGGAAGTGGTGTCATTCTTGGTCAGCTGCGAGAAGAGGATGTTGTTGTAGAGATTCTGCGACTTCACACTGCTCCCATTGAGCATCCCATTAGTGGAGTGGGGCAGCTGACCGAGGCTCGGACTCGAGCCTCCCATCGAGGCCTGCTGCTGCAGGAATTGCTTGTCACTGCCCATGAGACTGGCGCCCATGGTCTTGTACCAGTTCCACAGCCACATCTGGTTCTTCGTGTCATCCGAGGCGCCGGAGGGCGTGGACGAGGGTGGCGTGATCTGGGGAGAGGACACCACTGCCGGCGGGGTCGGAGTGTGGGACGCTGCCAGACTCTGCGTGGGCGGCGTGGTACGATGCAGAGGACTAGATGTCTGTGGTAGGCTGGAGTACAGGCTGCTGATGCCCAGCATTGACTGCTGCGATTTGAGCCAGTACCAGAGCGAGTCATCCATGGGAGCGTCTCGAGCCATGCCAGACGAGCTGGACATCTTGTACTTGCCGCCCTTATCGAGGCTCATGCCCAGCAAATCGTTGGCCGCCGACACGGCGTTCTTGTGCTGCAGCTTGGCCAGATTCTTCACCGTCAATCCCTGGCTCTTCTCCATGTCGCTTCGGCTGCTCTGCGCCGAGGAGCCCTTCGGCCTGGCTGAGCGCAGTGATTGCGAGGATGAACTGAGCGATCCCAGTCCCGGCATGGCCGACAATGCAGGATTTTGGAGCTGTGCCAAGATGTTGAGATTCGTGGCGATGTCGTTGAAGCTCAGCGCCAGAGGACTGGTCCCCAGACCGCCCACCGACGAGAATTGCGTCAAGTTGGACAGAGGACTAATGGCCGCCATTGAGAGATCTGCCTTGGACGGGTCGCTGGGCTTCGAGAGATCAGCTCCGTAGCCCTTGAGACTGATGTCCTTCGCCTTGGACTGCATCGCGGACAGATCGGCCGCGGTCTTTGCGAATGAGCTGTAATCCGAACCGAGTCCATTCAGGTGCAAGTCCCCGCCATTCAGGCCCTTGTGATCGCTCAAGTCCAGTCCATTGAGCGAGGAGCGCTTGTAGTGATCTTCGTACTTAATCTTGCCGTTGGCTGAGAAGTTCAAGGGCAGAGATGTATCCAGCTTCTGTCGCTTCTCTGGCGGACAGTTGAGCAGTTCCGATGCTGCAGCAGCAGCCACCAGTGCCGCATCGATCTTGTCCATCATCTTGTCCGCGGTGGGCTTGTCTGGTGTAGACTGACGAGACATGTAGCGCAGCTTCTCCTCATTCTTGCACCACCCGCGCAGCGTCGACTCCGGGACACCGATGTCTCGTGCCACGGACGCCTTGCTCTCACCATCATGGATCCTCTGGATAGCGTCGATCTTATCGCTGGCGGTTAAGTGTCGCAGGGGGCGCTTCCCCTTTGACGTCGCCGGAACCGTGGACATCATGTTCCACGCGAAGTATCTGTAAAAATATAAGACAAGGAGTCAGGGTGAGAAATCGCACATAAAAGTGTCGTATTCTTCTTAAGGTACATTTTCTTGTTGATCTTGTGTCTCTAGGCAGGGAAATACAGTCAGAAATTTTTTGTTCAAAAGTGGGATCTAAGATTGACCTAAACAAGTTCGCCACATTCCCAATTTGTCCCCAAGAATCACAATTCACACATGAGCTGAACTATGCGCGTGCATATCCACATTTTTACGACTGTGTCACCCTGACAGTGTGCTCAACATAAAAATGAGTGAGAGTTATGGCTGGGCGAGGATTACCACGGCCCCTTTAAAAAAGCACGTGGCAAGAGAGTTCTATACAGCAGCTATTCGTGCCTATGTAGAATCTCTGTTCCACATTTTCCCCATTATATTTCACACGATACTTTACCCCTCTTTTATTTCTCCAACTTTTCTATGTACTCCCTTTCATTCTACACCCAAACCTTATTTATTTGCACACCGTAACAATACGATGAATGAAAGCATGTTATGGCTTTTCAACCAATAAAAACTTAATATAGGGCAGAGACACCAGCTGAAAGTTATCAACTTTTGCTCTCTCCCGACATTCTACTCTCGGACCAATTTGCCGGCGGACGGTGATGCAGAGGGTGGGCTTTTTTGTTTGCATTTTGCCACAGAGCGTGAGCCATAGGGATGGCCCAAATTTTCCACTGCCAAAATTGGGTGGCGAGAGCTAGAAGAGTGTGTGTGTGTACCTTTGGCGTTGCCATGTATTGGAAAAAAAACATATGATATTTGACCCACAACTTCCGTTCAACCCCATCATCAATCACCCAAGACTCATTCGGCAATTCTTGGGGCGAAGGAGTGCAGTGCACTCCCTCAAGAGAGCAAGCACACAAACTTTCTCCGGCTGCACATGGTCTGTGTGCCCTTCGGATGGCACCCTTCTCTGCACTCTCTGTCTGTGTAATACTAAAAATTTATTGCATTTGAAAAAGTTCGTCTGACTTTTCTACTTTTCCTATGTACTTCATCGCCCACCCCCGAGCTTTCGGTGAGCCACTGCTGGGTGAGGACTTTTACTTTCGGTTTTGTGTGTCTCGTACATAAAATATTTTATAATACATAAAATGGGTGAGAGTATCAAGTTTATGTGTGTGACTCCTAAATGTGGAAAATGACTGGCGCAGTCGCAGTCAATATATTTACAATGTACAATTACATGCGAGGAGCAGAGCTTGAAGGGAAAAAAAAGTCGAAGCGAAAAAAAGCTCTCTCTCTCTCTCTCGCTCTCTCTCACACCCCTGTTCGCTATGTATCCACCCCACACTCTCTGTTTTGACACCGTCTCACACCCTGACAGCCGTAAAGTACAATAATCGTGAACTTGTCTCAATTCTGGGCGGCATGATGGAAACTTCCCATTTCGGCCGAGCGCGACAGTGCCGAGGAGGGGCGGCCGAAAAACGTGCGTTGCTCGCTCGTGGGGCCTTTCGCAGATTTTCCACAAAATTTTCCCTCCAAAACCACCCAGCCAGCCAGCCGGTCCCCAAACCCCCGCCGCACGCAAGCAATTTATCAGTGATAAACAATCTAATGCTACAGAGGGTGATTCCCATCGATTAAATTCATTGACAGACGCTTTTGATTTGTGGAATTGATCAACAAGTTGCCATCGCATTTCAATGAAACCTCCCGTGGGCTCGTTCTTCTTTTTTTTCCACCGCCCCGCGACAGCCAAATTGTCAGTGATTTCTGGACGGTCGGAGCGTAATTGGGGAAAAATTGGTGAGAAATTTGGGGCGAAAACACCGCGAGCGACCGCTCTCGTGTGTGGCGTTTTTGCTTATGGGGAGGCCACCGTGTGCGCGCTCCACTGCACAATCCGCCGGCAGCCAAGCGTTCGCCAAAAGACCCCCATTTTTCTGCACACTCAGGGAAAGTGTGTGGCCGGGCAAAAAACTCGGCTCACTGAATCGTCACTCCGTCCATCCGCCAGGTCGGAGGTTGTGAGAAGGGAGAGGCCACCAGCAAATAGGGACTGAATTATCGCGACTTCAAGTCACGTAGTCGGATTCGCGCATTACACTCACACATTCTTTCGCCTTTTTTTCATGGGTCCGTGCTCGCCTCCGCGGCAAAAAAAACGCTGGCAGAAGCCAGAACACCTTAAGGTTACTGGGATTCTTTGCAGTGCAAAATTAAGGTGCTCCAGAAAGAAAAGACAAGAAACCCAAGAAGCAATCTTATCTTGGGAATTTTTCAAAATCTCAGAATTTGTTAACTACATTTTGAGCACCGACAAATGTATTAGTTATAGAAAAAAAAGTGATAATCCCAGCTGTGATACTTTGAAACTTTTCACGCTCCGGTCAGGATTTGCCTAACTATCGCCGGTAATCACCTAATGACTTCAGTTTAGCTGCGGGAGTTCAGGTAGAAATTCGTCGGCGTGTGCAACATCTCAAATAAACTATTAATAATTGCTTCTTGAACACCATCTCCAAAGGCATTGCCCAAATTCAGTGGAATTTTTCCACAAATCCTCTATCAGTGAACTGGCAAAAGTGAAGCCCAACCGAAGCGGCCACAGAAAATTATGCTGGCGAATTGGACGTCGACTTCTTGCCGGCGAGCATGAGGGTGGCCCATGACATAAATAGTGGGCAACATAGCTTCTTGTACGGTTATACAGTACCCGCGCCAAACAATATTGGGGTGTGAGTGGCTTTGTATAAAAATATAGTTATGTAAGAGCCGCTGAGGGAGGGCGAAAAAATCCACCCCCGGGGTTAGGGGTGATTTTCATTTCAACGCTCGCGCTCTCCTCTCGCCCACTTGGCGCTCCATCTCGCCAGAATTTAAGGAAAATTATATCCTGGCGCACAGGACGTGTGTTTTCTTGGCAGAGAATTGCGCCCGACCTCGGGGGGTCGCGCTGGGGCTGCAATTTCGCGAGGCGGGAGGGCGGGTGAGAAAAAAAGGAGGAAAACCCGGGGATAAAAAGCAAAAGTTATGCTGCGTGGGACTGGCTGCCACCCCCACAATGTGGCAATGCGATTATCTTGGGGGTTGAGTTGGCGCCCGATGATTTCTCGCGCGTCTCGCGGGACGAGTGATGGAGAAAAAAGACCTCTTCCGCCACGAGCGCGTCCGGAAATAATTTAGAATGAATCACGCGCGCCTTAAATTATCCATACTTGTCGCGCCCTCCCGCCTTGTGTGCCCCAACTTCGCCGTGGCGAGAGTGTGTTGTGATAAATATTCAATTTGCACAAAGTTTCGCCGAAAAACTCCGTTCCCGCTTTTATCACAGCAGACATTGCAAAGTATGGATTTTCTCAAACCGGCAGCCAAATGAAAGTCAAAGCGTGTCTGCATTGGATTAGCGGCCACTCCAAATCTCCCCACAATCGAACACCAAAAATTTCTATAGAGACATGCAACGACAAAACTCACTTGCGATTGTCGTACGTTGCTCCAAATTCACCGCTACTCGTGCAAATTGGATGAGTCGTTTTTTCTCCGATATATTTCTCACACAATCATTTAATTAGGCTGTTCCCGGAATTTTCGGGGTCAGCAGGTTCCACCGGATCGCTTTTGTGCACAAAACTCTCTTTTTTCGCACCACTGCTCCAGCGACGCGATATCCTCAACACTTTATCTCACAGAGTCACCACCAGTTCTTCTGTCTCCCTCTGAATCTCGAATGGAGGAGGAAAAAAAAAATCCTCTGACCTCTTGGCACTTGTCCACGAATTTTCACAGGGTGTCCTTAGAGAGAGGTGAAAATCGCGAGATGTGGGTGGGCGAAGACTTCACTCTTGGCTCTCATGTGAGCTGCAGGTAATCAAGTACTTTGGCTAGACGAAGCACTGTCCACACGACCAACTCGGACGACCGCCAATGTTCAACTAAACACTGTGGAAATTTGTATTGTATCCTTCCAAGATTATATTTGCAGTCCTTACTCTTCCAAGTTTGGCGGGTCTCTGACTGCTAGGAGGGAAACTAAACTGATGTGTGCTATATATTCTCACACACAGCAGTCTTCCACCGCCTTATACATATACACTCTTCGCACTCTCCGTCTCTCTCACTGTGTGCTTTCCCCCGTGGCCTCGTGGCTGTGTGTGTGCTGGCCAGCCAATGCCTTCGCCTTCGTCGTTCTCGCGACCCGCGTATCCGTTGGGACGGCAATACAGCACCCGGGCTGGAGTGTGAGTCGGGTCGAATGGAGAGTGACAGGGTTGAATTCAGGGGTCCCCAACTTTTGCTCTTCGCTTTCTCCTTCACCCGCGGAGTGCGGCCGCTGCAGAGCTTCCCGCCAGTCGATCTCACCTCATGAACTCACCGCCAGGCTAATGAGTCTCTCGGCAATTATCAAAGATCATTACCGATGAGTCTTCTTGGGTGATTAGCCGGACTTCTGCTGAACTGATTATTTTTGCGACATGAAATACGGGGAGAAATATGTCTGCGAATGTCAAATGAAGACCTACTTGTTCTTCTCGCGAACGCCAACGCTTTGCTGAAAAGTTCAAGAAATAATACTACAGAACGTAAGCAATTGATAGCTTTTCTTCGTAAAAATAACTTCATTCTAAAATTAAAGTCACCGGTTTTCTTGAGCGTGGAAATGCTTTAAAAGTACCGTGTGCATTTCTGCAGAGGAAATGCTCTCTTGCTTGCTCCGGTTTTCACAAACAATTACTGCAAAACTCACGGCAAGCGCTCAAAGGAAGCCACAAAGCAAAAGTCTCTCCTTCTGCAAACTGCGAGATTTCACTCCCAGTCCGCGTCTGGCTTGGACGGTCCGCGAAACGCGATTTGTCTATGCCAGCGGTGGGGGATGAGGGTAAGGCTATGGCTGCGCCGAGGGGAGACGACGTGCGGAGGTGCTGCTATTTTCTCATGTTCTCTCTCACTCACCCACTCGCCATCCCCTATCCTTGGCCCCTGGTACAGATATATAGTGGCGAGCAGTGCACGGGGTGGTTGTGTACATGTTGGAAGTTTGAGTCGCGGCTACGAGGCAAGAAGTGTGCGGCAGGGGTTGACGGAGGGTGGGACACGAGCGACAAGAGCGAGCGAAGGTTCTGCAGAGCAGCGGGGGGTGCGGGAGGGTATGTGCGGCACCATCGTGGGGCGCACATGTACATGCGAGCCTGAGATGGGGGGCGGAGGTTGAGCCGGAGGACCGTCATATATCTACCGTTCTGTAGGAGATTCGTGTCATGTGGAATGGGGTGGCGCTATCCCTTGTGTGAGCATCGCCGTAGGGGTTGATCGCGGGTGTGGGTGGCGGAAGGTGGCGTGACGAGGGGCCAGGGGGTGGACCATGTGAGACGAGCATTTTGCCTGCTGTTCGCTGCTTGAGGGTAGAGAAATGAACTTTCCTGGCGCGAATGGCTGAAATCTCCTATTTGTAGCTGGGGCGGTCGGCGCAAAAACACTCTTACGGACTTGTGTCGTCAGTGTGTGCACAAAAGCTCAACGCCTGGTCGGTGGCGTCATCGTCGCCCCAACTCCGGGGCTTGGCATTTGAGAAAGCCGCGTCAGCCCCAACCCCGTGTCGCCTCTACGACGACAACCCTCGCTCTCCGTCCCTCGTACGCGACACGTATGGGTCTCTCCTCATGCACGGAGAGCGTCCACTCTGGGAGACCACCCGCTTCCACATTCAATCCAGCGCTTATTTGGTGGGAAAGCGTGAAACTGACTGAATACATTAGGAAGAGGTCTGTGGGTGGGCAAGACGGCGCGCGGGGTCAGGGCGCGGGCTTATTTGTATTAGTCACACCACGCAAGCATTCACGATGCGAAATGGCGAGGAGGCCTCACCCTCTCGGCCATGGACCGCCGTTCTGGTCAGAAAGGACGCCAAAGTGCTCACCATTCGTCTCACCGAGGGCTGAATAAGGCCACACTCGGGCCATGGGTCGGGGAGGGACACAGGACATACAACAAAAGGAAGAAATCGATAAACTCAAACCGCGGCTATGGATTTTCTCCGGAGGCAGCAGCGGCAGAAAAAATTGTCTTCTCTCGTTTCCACCAACTCGGGTTGAATTTATGCTCTCAGACATGTACAATGTAGGGGTAGTGAGGATTGTGAAAGGAAGGAAATTTCGTTAGACTTTGGCTCTTTGTGTCCTTCGTGAATAACCAAATACCAGCGCGATGCAGGGAAATGGAGAAAGATGGAATTTTTTGCACTTAGCAAGGCTGGGGGGCGGGAAAAGAGTCAATCATGTGAAAACCATACCAATCGCATTGGATTCATTGTTATCTGGGCCCCAGAAATGATGACTACACTCGAGAGAGGAGTCACAATCTTTCGTGTGGGCCTCTGGCGAAAAACCGACAGCGAGAGAGAGAGAGAGAGGGAGAAGGAGGACGGGAGAGAGAAGACGGGCGATATGAAGAGCATTTTGAAAGGCCAACAATTCGCATCTGTGCATTCTATTTGTCCGATTTGTGCCACTAATTTTTCTGGCAACGCCGCACACAACTACACACAGAGCGAAAAGGGCCACCGCTAAAATTCATGGAATTGCAACAGTTCAATGGTGAAATATTAACGCATCCGCCAGGTAAAATGCGTCCCGTGGTGCGGTGGCATAGCTGAAGAAATTCGGTGCAGTCTGTAGAAAGTTTGTCACCGCAGAGGATTTTTTCACGCGAACTCTGCCACGAATGAACATTTTTCAGTCACACTCTTTCGAATAGTTCGCATATTGATACTCTTTCAAGGCTTCCCGGCTTTTGTGGCGCTGCCGAGGAGGGAGAGCCTCAATTGTCCCCTTCCCAGCCGATCGGCAACGGCGATTTTATCTCTGTGCGAACAATTTGTCCCGTTGAATTGTCTCGGAATCGCGAGAAAGAGATATTTAGATTGAATAGAGCTGTCAAACTCTAGATCTTACACTGAAGGATAAAGATGATGCTTAGAATCGGATTTTGCACTATAAAATAGCACAAATAGCAATACTTTTAGAATTCTCCTGCAAACTCTTGCCTGTGAGATTCACATTTATTTGACTCTATATTAATCCCTCTAAATTTCCTTTCAACTCTGTGGCATCAGACTGTGCGATGTTGCAAAAAATGCTCCGTAAATTTCTCAATTTGGCACAAATTAAGCCAACTGACATTGCGAATAGGATATTGGAAGCTGTTTGTGAGTTGTGCTTATGATTTGCGTTATTTAATTAGTCACCAGACCACGTAGCAATTATTGATCAAACTCTGTTGAGGGGAGCATGAAATCCCTCGAGAATATCTCGCATTTCTCGCGAATATTGATTGTGCTGAGTTGTGCTTCCTTCATCTGACACTTCACTCGCAGACCCCGCGTGAATTTATGCAAATGTCTCTATATGCGCTCCTTCACCCATTGATTCGCGAAATTGCGTGCTCGATTCCTCGTCTCTGCCTCGTCGGCTCGTATCGGTGCACAATGCCAATAAAATTTCCTGGCCCTCGCAGTATTCCCGGCACAGACACATGGACACTGTTTTCACTTTAATGCCAATTTCCCCTCGATTTCTTCGTGTCCGCGCGCATAATGCACATTATTGCCGCGGCAAAAATATGCGCCGAGTGCTTGGGTGCGCTGAAAGTACTATAATTACGCGAATCCGTTCCTCCCGTGGTGAAGTCCCCGTGTTTTTTTTTCCTGCCCTGCTTCTTCAAACACAGGCAAACTCCCTCCCCAAATGCACCGACAGACGTAGAAATGCATCGCGAATTTGCAATTTATGTCTATACAATGCGAACCCCAATAATAACGATATGGGAAAAAAGAAACGTTCAAAATGTTGGGGGAAACGCGATGTATTTTGCCACTCTTCTGCTGCACGAACTCGCGCGCTATTCTATGTTGAGCGAGATGCAAAACGAGGAGTGATGCGTTTTTTTCTCTCACAAATATAGAGCAATGTTTATTAATTCGGAGTTGACAATAAATAGAAAGACAATTCTGTTCGCCAAATAAAAGTGGATTTTATACTGTCCGGTCTTTTTCGCAATTGCACAAGAATTGTATGTCTTATATTGATGAGTATTATCTAACTCTAAATAAGCTGACTGAATTGTGAGATGAAAATGTATTTTTTTTCTTCATGCTTGTTTTAAAACATTTTACATTCTCTCTTTGCGCGCTTTTAAGTTATTTGACCTATATTTTTCTAAAATCAAAAAATGAAAAATGTTTCACAAGTAAACTCTTAGGTTTACTATAATCTTTGCTCGTCCTGCAGATGTGTGCATATGTAGATTATAAATCTTTCTACTCAGCATCTGTCTGACCAAGAAGTGCTTTTGGCAGATTTGCGGATTGAGCACTCTGCGAGGTATTTCACCTTTGATTGCATTTATTCCCAGTCTTCCTTATAGCATTTGTGTACACACACACACACAGACGTACCTAATCCGGTGCAAACCTTTAACACACGATGCTTTGGTAGTGTTTGTTTACTTATTACAATAAAACCCAGAGATGTACATTTTATAAGGAGGATTCAACGTTATTCTGTATAGTTTATTCAGCGAGCGGAGGGTGGGCAAATCTATGTGAAAGTCATGTTCCCTGATGGCTGCGAGGATGGCGAGAGCGCCAAAGAGATACCGACCGCCACCCCAAGTGCAGGAGGATACTCTGGTATTCCGCTTGTGCATTTGTATGCACCTCTCTGGGGGTGGCTTCTGCGTCCCCCCGGGATGGGTGACACTCGCAGAGTGAAGCGGGGAGCCTGGATGAGTGGGTGGCTGCCGGATGGACTTTCCATGCATTGTCTCTCCGGCGACGAGGCCAGAACGCCGTGTGTAGGGTTGGGGGCGGGAATAGCGGGGATGACGGCGCTCCAGTGGCCGGAGGAGCGTCGAGGAGCGACGTGCAAAGTACAAGTCCTCGTCACGGGTTATTGGGCATAATGTACATTCGCTCGCCAGTCATCTGAGTTTCGTTGCCCATCCCCGTCTTCCAGCGCCAAATGACACAAACGCCATCTCCTACTTATCACCGCTGGGGCCGACACGCTGAGGAGGAATTATGTACAATGACTGCGGCTCCAGCAGCGCTCCCAGCTCTCCATTATATACATCCACGTTCACGGGTTTCCTCCGCTGGCGGCGATATTGGATTTTTTTCCTCTCCTCGGCCACTGGGAAGGCAAAGGGGATTATTGTCCCCTCATGAGCACCATCTTCTCCCCCAAAGTCTAATTACAACAACTCCGTGGAATTTTCTGTTTAATTCAACATTTTCCCAACGACCTCCACTCGCTCTATTGGCATCCGAGCACGGGATCACTTACAGTGAGCGATTGATGCAGGGGATGGAATTTTTGTCCGTTGCGCAGAAATAGGGTGGCATT